TGTCCAGAGACCGCTTGTGTTAGGATCTCTCTAGACACCTCCCTCACAGGCGTGGCCAAAGAGTTGAAAGAGAGGATGCCCGCCTGGGCCAAGATGAAGAAGGAGAATAAAGGGMAGCTTATATTGCTAGATACAGAGATTTTTAGAAGTAGAGTAGGGGCCCTAGTAGACTCAGGGGCCACCAGCAGCTATATTAGTAGGAAGGCGCTGCAGAAGTTGAAGCTGGGACTTATAGTAAGCTAGCAGACCCTATAGTTAGTATCCTCGCAGACAATCGTACCATGGTTGTAGAGGATTACGTTGAGGGAGTTCAGGCGTATTTTCACCTAGAGAAGGATGGGAAAGTGAAAAAGGTCCTCCACTCCCTGACTCTCCTCGTAGAAGACAGCCTCCCATTTGATATTGTTCTGGGAATGGATTGGGGAGAGGCAGCCGGGGCCACGCTCCATTTGAAGGAGCACGAGTGTAGGCTCCCWAGTTCGTCAGGCGAGGCTAAGATTVCCCGCCTGTTCCATGTGTCAGGGGTAGATAATTCCTTGGCGCACTGCTGCCTTAGTGCCCCCGCGTTCGCCAGATTGGTGAAAAAGGAGAAACTAGAGGAACAGGTTTTCGTTGCCTATGTCAGGCCAGTGACTGAGCCTAAGGAAGAGAAGCCCGTAGACCCTGCTATTGCCAAATTGCTGGAAGAGTTTAAGGATAATTGCTGGAAGAGTTCAAGGATTTAACCGAGCCGCCGACAGGCACGGTGCCGCGGCCCATCCAGCACCGTATTGAGATAGAGCCTGGCAGCAGAACTCCTAAGGGTGCTGTATATAGGATGTCCCCGCGGGAGTTGGAAGAGCTACGGAAGCAGTTGGACGAGCTTCTCGAAAAGGGTTGGATTAGGCCCAGTTCGTCTCCTTTCGGAGCCCCTGTTCTCTTTGTCCCTAAGAAAGAGGGAGAGTTGAGGATGTGTATAGACTATAGGGGTCTGAATGCTATTACAGTAAAGAATGCTGAGCCACTGCCTAGGATAGACGATCTCTTAGATCAAATAGAGGTGCATCCTGATGATCAGTATAAGACAGCCTTCCGAACTAGATATGGGCACTACGAGTTTATAGTGATGCCCTTTGGACTAACCAATGCGCCAACTACGTTCCAGCGCTGTATGAACGATTTGTTCAGGCCGTGGTTAGATAGATTTGTTATAGTGTACCTAGATGACATTCTAGTGTTTAATAAGACCCTCGACGAGCATCAGGGTCATCTTAGGCAGGTCTTGGAAAAGTTGAGGGAAGCTAACCTCAAGATCAATGCAAAGACCCAAGTTTTGTATTTAGGCCACGTCTTAGACGGAGATGGCGTTAAGCCAAAGGATAGCAAGATCGCAGCGATTAGAGATTGGCCCACGCCACGTACGCTGACAGAGTTGCGCTCGTTCCTGGGCTTAGCAAATTACTACAGGAAGTTCATGAGGAACTTCTCCACCATCGCTGCGCAACTTCGCAGATTGCTAAGAAAAGAGACAATCTGGAAGTGGGACAAGGACTGCACGTCTGCCATGAAGAAGTTAAGCAGGCATTGATAGAGTACCCGGTCCTTAAGGTCGCCGATCCGTCCTTGCCTTTTGTCRTTACTACGGATGCTAGCCAGTACGGCATAAGCACAGTGTTACAGCAAGACGATGGCAATGGGTATAGACCCGTAGAGTTCATGTCCGCCAGAATGCCTTCAGAGAAGGTCGCGACATCTACCTATGAGAGGGAACTCTACGCTCACAAGCAAGTGTTAGACCACTGGAAGCACTACTTGCTTGGGAAACACTTCAAAGTCTATTCCGACCATGAAACGTTACGATGGTTAAAGACGCAGGCCAAGATGACACCTAAGCTTACTAGGTGGGCCGCCGAGATAGATCAGTACGACTTCGAGCTCAAGCTTGTCAAGGGGAAGTACAACGTAGTTGCGGATGCTCTGAGTAGGAGGGCAGATTACTTCGGGGCGATAGTGCATTACCTCGATATAGGGAAAGACCTGCAGCAAGAGGTTAGAGA